ACAGGGTGTCCCAAAAATGTCTCGCAATCCGAAAGTAGCGAGTTCCTCGGGTAATTTGAAGCAACTTTTTCCTTTACAAAAATGTTCTCCGAGGCACCGTTAACGAGTTATTAACGGAAAACAGTGACCAATGAGAGGCGAGCTCGGCTGGCGCGAGGCGACCGAGCCAATGGGCGGAACTGGGCTTCGCGCGCTGGTTGGCTGGGCCGCCTCGCGTCAGCCGTACTTGATTCTTATTGGTCACTGTTTTTCGTTAATAACTCGTTAACGGTGCCTCGGAGAACATTTTTGTAAAGGAAGAAGTTGCTTCAAATGATCCGAGGAACCCGTCATTTCCGGATTGCGAGACAAAGAAAAAAAATATGTATGGAGGAAAAAGCGACGCTTTCAAACAAACACTAGTAACACCCACTGTCAAACACGCTGGCGGGAATATAATAATATAGGGTCGCTTTAATGACAAATAAAATAAATTTGCCAAATAGGCAATTTAACTTTTATTGATCGAAGATTGACTGCTGCTAAATACATTGAATTATTAATGAAAATTGATTTCAATCAATTGAAGAATTTGGAGCCGACAAAAGTCTTATGTGTTTCAACATGATAACGATTCGAAGTACACTGCAAAAATAGATAAAAAGTGTTTCGGAAAAAAATGATATTTCCATGCTCTTGGCCACCTCAGAACCCGGATTTAAATCGTACAGAGCATTTATAAGGTGAATTAGAGCGACAGGTTCCAGGAAATCAAAGATCATGGTAGTACTATAAAAAGCAAACAGAATGTAATTATGACAAATACTTTAGGTAAAGCCAAGAACTATCAAATCTCTCATAAATTAAAGTAAAATTTTTGACGTTGTATCTCGTAGAAATACTCGTCGTCAACATAATCTCCTTTATGATGAAATACAAAAATTAATTATTTTTCGCTTTGTTCTATTTATCGTTTATGTTTATACATTATGTATCGTCCCTATTATTGTTGTAACAATGAAATAAATGTTTCTGATCCTAATTCAAATAGTGTTTAGATTTATTACAAATTTGTTAGCTTCGATTTCCCGAAAAGTGTAATCGTCAACTTAAATTATAATATAATATAATATAATATAATATAATATAATATAATATAATATAATATAATATAATATAATATAATATAATATAATATAATATAATATAACATAACATAATATATTATAATATAACATAACATAATATATTATAATATAATATAACATAATACGACGCGACTGTTCATCGCGTTCCAACACCGGTTTATCCTGCGAGGGAATAAATAAACTCGGTAGCGACGGAACGGAGATAGAAAGAAACGGCCGATCGATCAACAGGGGACCGAGGACAAGCTAGACGGGAACGAATCGACTATTTACAGCCGGAAATTAACTGGGAGTGTCCGGCCGTAAGTGGCCAACTCTCCGTATCCTAATTTCGGGCGAGGAAGGGAACAGATGGACGCGCGGGGTACGTACGTCTGTCACGGTCGAGACATTAACGCGGCCCCCGCGTATTGTTTTCCAAACGCTGTCTCCTCGATTACCGCGCATTCTCTTCGTTAACGAGATTATCGGGGCACGGTGCGCGCGCGACAATTCGACCCGCAAATACGCGCGTTTCAATATCGGAGGAAACAACGCTCCTCTCCCTCACCCTTCCTTTTGCAAATGGGCCCCCCCCCCCCTCGAGCCATGTAATGAAATATCAAGAATACGGCAGTTAATTAATGCTGAATGTGAATACAAACAATCGAAAGCCGGGTGCGTACAGTTCGATGACCGCCGAATTGCGTGCGATGATTCCTCCGGGCAAGAGATCAATTGGCAAACTGTGCGCTGCGAACCGGTTAATTACGTTTGCGAGTCATGCCCAAGTTAAAGGGTTATGCGAACAGTCTGCGCCGTATGCAAACAGGTTTTCTAATCACCAGATTCCGGACGACTATGGGTTTATGGCACGGATCCGATCTATCACGGTAACGCAAGTAGTTTAATTAGGTTTTACCTTGTCCGAGACCTAATTTAGAATCGAATTTCATTCGAACCGGTTATTACGGGAGAGATCGTCCAAGTGTCTAATTTATTTTTGAAAAAATTAACGATTAGAAGTCATATTGGATCAATCGGAACGTTATTATATTTCGTTCTTTCACGACAAATTAACCCTTCGCAGTCGGAGCTATTTCAATGCGAAATCCAAAAGATGTTTTCTGATCTGCAGTATTTTCGTTTTATATGATTCGCTGCAATTTATGCATCCGAAATTGTGCCTATTGGCAAGTACAATAATTGCAATTTTAACAGTTCTTTAAATACAACAAATCGGGCGCTGTTACAATTATTCGATGAAAAGTGGTGTAACAATTTTTCGTGGCGCCTCAGACTCGCCGCTCGAGTGCAAAGGGTTAATAGACGATTTTTTTCATGTTCAGAATAAAAAAAAAGCACTTCGTGACATGTTTCTAATCGTTTCGAAATCTTACGCTCGTAGAAGTCCTGTTCTGTATTGGCAAAATACTGAATCAAGTGCTTTCTTAACGAACTTGCAAAATGAAATTTGTTTGTAAAACGAAACAGCTATTTAATTAACTAATTAATTTTTAAAAAGCGAGATTATTTGCACCTAAAATTCTATGAAATAATGGCAAGTTTAAATTGGATGTACATTGAATAAATACACGACACACGATTAATTAATTCCTTTTTTTGAGAAATACAAAGAAAACGATGCTTGTAAGAAAGTATTTCGCCAAGCGAGATCCTAGAAAAAAAGTATTTGGTCATTCAAATTTCCATAGAGACGAGCAATAATTTGCTTTACATTCGTACGAAACGTATATTAGACAATATAAATTAATATAAATTAAATTAAATATATATAATTGAATAAATATAAATATAAATATATAATATAAATATAATATAATATAATATAAATAATAATATAAATAATAATAATAAATATATATAATAAATAATAATATAAATAATATATAATATAAACTAATTGAAAGATAGACTGCAGATTTTAGATTATCATAAATAATGTCAATAAGTGAATTCTTCTCATTTCATTTGTTGTTGTGTGCTTAAGATCGCATCAACGTTACAAGTGTTATTATCAACTTTAAATCGTTCTAAGTTCAATTTTCCAAATGAAATTACTGAGGTGTGTTGCATAAATTTTCATAAAATTCAATAAAGTTTCTGTCTCATTGTTCTAAATCAATGTCATAAATATTTGTACAAAGAATGAGATACAAATCATTATTATTTAATACAACTATTTCATACAAATAATTATTTTAACATACTTTGAAAAATATACAACACACATGTTTCTCACCCCATCGGAAACATCGCAGAGTTACGATTCAAAATTTGGAACCACGCCGTCTATAATATCCCAAGCTACGGACCAAGTAGCCTACAAACAAGGAGCGTAAAGTTTGTCACAACGTCGGGGTTTA